AAACTTAGAATGTTTCACGATTAGGACATTTTTAAATGGAAAGCAGCTTAATAGGTTCAGAAAGCTCGCCAGCCGGCACCAGATTGGGGCTGGGTGCGAAGCTGTGCTGTGATCCTGGCCCACGCCCTCGGCGAGGAGTCGGCGGCCAGTTCCATTTATAAAGGGTTTTCTTGGGAACGACAAGCAACTCGAACACATATTGGGTTGTTAACTGCCTTTATAGAGGTTTCAGCGAGAAACATAGGCTAAGAGCCCGATAATAGCGTGGGCACCTATTCAGCCTAACCTAGGGGTCTATCGTAGTAATAGTGCAGGCAGCTAGCACTACACTCTCCCCTACCCTTACTCCGCCGATGACCAAGCTCTTCCGCCAGCTCTGCGACCGGGCGCAGAGTCATATCCTGAAGGCAAAAGGTCAACAAAAACACTACGCAGACACCCACCGCCGCGAAGAGGAGTATGCGGTGGGCGACAAAGTCTGGCTGAGTAGCAAGTACCTTCCCGCCTAAACACATGCCCTAAGTTTGAACCCCGTTTCTATGGGCCCTTCGTTATTACTAAACGCATTGGGAGTGTTGCTTACCGCCTGGCGTTACCCCCTACGTACGAATGCCATGATGTCTTCCACGTCTCCCACTTAGTTCCTGACCGCCCCCGTGCCCCCGATCTGGAACCTCAGGAGGCCGTTGTGGGGTGGCCTCCTACCCGAGATGTCGCAGGTAACCCCACGGATCGGTAGGAAGTCGACTACATCATGGACCAGCGTCGGTCCGGCGACGAGACCCAATACCTTGTCGAGTGGCGGGGCTACCCGGAGGACCAAGCCACCTAGGAACCTGCTAGCCATCTGGACGGTTGCCCTGCACTGCTGCGCGCCTGGCGTCGCCGCCACAGGAACCGCCGTCCGCCCTGATCCGCTGCCCTCTTTTCCCTCGGGCACCCCCGCACCTCCCCCTTTCGCCAGCTGTCGCCCGCTTCCCGCCCTGTGGCGGGGGGGGAAGGGGGTGCAGGAGCACCCCATGTGGCGGTAGCAGGTTATCTACACAGCCAATGGCCTAGCTTAGAGGCACACGGACGCGCAGGTAGCGGTAAGCCATCACCACGAGCACCAGCACACTATATCACCCGTAGAAAGGTCAATATCTACACCTAGTGTTACTATTCATAGAGTCCCTAGTGGCGGCAATACTCAGGGGAGGTACCTATACTCTGAGGCCTAGAGTGTCAAAATTAAAAGGGTAGTAAATAGCAAGAGAAAAATAGGAATAATTGCGTTAAAGTTAGCCAGAAGGGATAGTGTGAATGTACTAGGAATGGCGTTAGAATAGCTGACGTAGAAACAGAGGTAGAAGCATCAGCTGAAATGCTAAGGCGCACTACCTCAGCAGCGACGACACTGCACAATAATATAATAGGACTAGATAGAGGTCTAATTAGCTAGCCCTGCAAGGTCCTAAGGCTTCCCATATAGTTGTTATCTACTGAAATAATTGTAAGAAAGGTGTTAAAAT